TATATATATATATATATATATATATATATATATATATATATATATATATATATATATATATATATATATATATATACAAAATAAATGATTCCGGCCTAAGTTACTAGCAGCTAAAGACTTTCTTTGAGAATGAGTGGGTCACGTGCGTGGATGTAACTATGCAGTGCCATGGAGAAACTTTTAACAAATTTTTACTTTTACTGAGCATGTGACTGAGCATTGTGCGAGAGATTTGGATACAATGGAAACTATTGATATTGAAAACTCACTAAAATTATTAAATGCACGAAAATACAGTGACGATAGCCCCACATTTGACGTACGGTGTGTTGAAATGTTTCGCCATAGAAACATATATTTCACTATATTTTACATGGAAATACATGAACATGTTTCATAAAGATTTTTTTATTTATAAAATAAATAATAAACTACACAAATTTAAAAGAAACATCAATCTAATCAAGGGGAAATGACACATTTGTATTCTTGCATTTAGATGACCTTCCGTTCTCATGAGTTTTCACCATGTCTTGGCGTGATATCACGATTCACGTGACATGTGTACACAGTGATGATTGGTGCTCTCAAGTGCCAAGAATAGAATAATTAGATCTTAAAAACATACATTGGCTAGGCGGTGGTATTATAACGCCGACACTGCAAAATACTGGCGTATTCCGGCGAATTGTTCACGCCAGGGGGATGACATCACACTTGTACCCTGACATGGGTCCAAAAACAAATATGTATTTCATAGTGTGGTTCAAACTTTGAAACAAAGCCTGCTCAGTGCCAACGCTTTGTCAACAAGATTACACTGTCGGCGCTTGTTGACGTTCAATGACACATGTTCTTAGGCGGATATGGGAAAGCTCGGTTTTCATATTAAAGGGAGGGCAAATTATAAGGAAATGAAAGGTACGATCTGATTGAAATAAGATAGGGTTCTATTTTTATTTGTTTGAATTATGTAACAAAAATATTTATATTTTAAAGCACTTTCACGACTACCAACATTCAAAAAAACTAAATAAATAACTTAAATCATATTTTAAAAAACAGAAAAAAAAATAAATAAATAATATAAAATAAATCCCAAATTAAGATCTTATTTTAATCACGTTGATAAGAGTCGCTCTTATCAAAGTACAATTGCACATCAATTATCAAGTAACTGTTTGCACTTATCCCTCAAAACATTAATGTCACGTGTAGCTTTAAATGAAAAATCCACAAAGCAATATTTGAATTGACGACTGAACAAAAGCATTGAGTTATGAAATGTATTTTTCCATATGACAGGTAATTTGAGGTATATTTTTTTCTATAGTGTCAATGAACAAACAAATTGCAAGCTGTTTTTGCCATGCTATGAACTACAGATAAATCGGCATACAAGGAGAGTAATGGAAATGGCCGTTTGTCGACCATATTGTCGACATATCTTCGTATATCCAAGACCAATTTATATATTTGCATATTGTCGGTTTCGGGGAACCCAAACAATGGCTATCATTTTACCCTCGTCATTCTAATTTTCAATGAAGTTCAAAAAACGCCATCACGCAAGTAGATTTCTCTGTAATTGATGAAATTTCCCATTTCCCATGGTTGATTGATGATCACTATAGACGGCGCACCAACAACGCACATTTGCATTAACCCGGTGAAAAATCATGGCGTGACACAAAGTCTGTTAAAGAAATTACATATTTTATACCCTGGCTTAGTGATTGGCAGTGTAAGTAACCAATTAGCGACCGCGTTATACCGTGGTTTGTGGCATTGATGAGAGACGAACCTTGGTGTTTTTAGTCATAATTCCCCCAACTGCAAACTTCAAAGAAGCTGGCCTGAAAGTTTCAGTGTGTTATTGAGTAGGTGAAATTATTTTCTGGCTAAAGCAGCCAGTGTATATGTAGCTAACAATACGTCCCATACACTTATTCTCGGGGCGGACATCCGGGCATTTTCTACCGCCTGGCAACCCTCGCGGTGAAAACAAAGACCAAAAACTCGCAGAAAACGGTACTTTGCGATGGTTGTTGAGAGTCCCCTGAACAGTGTAACAAGATTAGCCCTACGTGTGTAACATATATGAATTTGGTTGTTCAGGATTACTTCAAAGTTGAGTTTGTGTTGTTTTCTCGAGTTTTCACCGGCTCCACCGGCGTTCCACAGCAGCGCGCACAGAGCCCATAGAAATACGTGGTACAGTGGTGCGCGTCTTAGCAACGTAGAACGTCCGTGACGTAGCTCCGCCCCCGAGGATACTACGTGCCCAATTGTTCTACCACGACTCTGTAACCCCATCGTATCCATGCTAATTGTAGACCGATCACACATATAAATCACATATAAATCATTGCAGTTGTATTTATAGGGCAGGAATGTGTTTCCTGCACATTAGATTTTAAAGAGGATTATGGGATAGAAAATCGAACTATAGGGGGCGTTTTTTTGGAGGGGGGCTAGTGTCTTTTTCATACAGCCCTGTGCTAACGTCAACTGTAAACCTCTCCTGTTTTCAAGCAACGCGTTAGTTTTTTTTAAATTGTATGGTTATATTGTTATTATTGGTTATTATTGTTTTAATTTCATTTGAGAGAGTGTTTTATTTTTAGTTTTTTACTGTCTTGGCAGCGAGCTGTTGGACTTTTCTATAATTTCATTGGAGAGAGTGTTTGTTTCTTCACTGTTTTCAGGCGACCTAGAGATAGAGTGTATTCGATTTCGATTCGGAAACACAATTCTGCCCTATATTGTAAACTAGCCTTACGCTAATATAATGGCTAAGACTCACTGTGTTTCTGTACTCAATGTGTATAGAGGAATGCAACTAATTTTTGAACCTTCAATTTTGATTTTTTTTTCATCGTATTAAAAACCAAAATACTCACTCGATAATGTATATTCACAAATATAACCCCAAATGTTGGCAGTGTTTTGTAAATTGTACTTGCGTTTTTGTGTATTTTACTCGACTCTGACCAAAACATTGACTCTTTATTATATAAACCCAATCTATCTCGTGGTGTTTGGGATGTATATCATTTTACTGATTGTTTACAAATAATAAATAGAGCAGGCAGAGAAACAACTAAACAGAACGAGTTAACCGCCGATGTCACAAAACACGTATTTGCATTGAATTCTATTAGAACGTCACTAGTACCATTCGTGTGTTGTTGTTGATGGTGTCATATCAGGGACATGTGGAAGGCAATGATATCACGTATGTCAAATTAATTCGCGGGATAGGAGCATCAGCAGGATTCTACTGACCCACCCGTAGCTGTAAAAAATGAACTGTTCCTAAGTAGACTTGTGCTGATCATTAACTACATTGACTGTCCACAGTGTCGCCCTGCATCATGTGACTTACAGTCAAAAACGCTAGCAAAAAGCGGTAATAACAGCATCGAAGTGTATGATTTAATTAGCATCGGTCAAGATACAAAGGTGAGAACAACACTCCCATCCACCTGTAACCCGTGATCCACACTACACACCACGGTAGGTGTTGTGCCGGGACAAGGTTTGCATACCTACCCATCATGCAGATTGTCAAGTGATATAACACGTCACCTTGGCCAAAATGTTACTAAGACACCGATAAAGACAGTTTACCAGGTTTGTTAATTTCCTTTCGATACAAGTTACAATAATCAACGATATTTAATAATAAAAAGTTAGGTAATGACCTTCAGTCTCGTTATCTGTGGCGACGCCGTACACTATGATTTCTTTGTTTGTACATAACCGTAAATTTTAATTGTTGACATAGGCATCCAGATTGCCAAAGATAGCATTATGTGTTGCGCCTGTGTTGCGATGACGTCATTTTACAGGTACCACGTTTTCATATTCCAAGGTCCTATTTGTGGTTTTCTCTAGACTTCATTATTATAACGCTCTCAAATGAAAAATCATATCAATGTGTGAGTAGTTCAATACAGTTCATGCACTTAAAAAAAACATTCACACGTTCAATTTAGTTTGAATATGATCATAACCTATCATCTGTTACAACTACAGAGAGAAGCAGTGTGAAGTAGTTCAAATTGTTAGTGTTTGGTTAATCAACTAAATTATTTCCGTAGCGCTATCTGGGAAAATGAATGATACGGTTGAGCCATGTCCAATAGAAGACCCGTTTTCGGCGGACTACTTCAAAGGTGAGGTAACTAACACAACGTTCGTTGTGATCAATATCCTCCCAGATCAAGATGTAACCGTGGCGCAATACACCACTTTGAATATTGCCTTTTTCTACAAAAAAAAATCTTTATCCCTAGATATTACCGTAGGTAAAAATAAAATAAAATAAAATGTTGCATTTTTTTCAGAGATTCCTAAAAGAGTGTTATTTTTTGGTTTATTGGTATTCTGTACAGTGTTCACCATCTTCACCGTGGCCATCTCAATTGAATCTATTGTTTACATCAGATCGCATATTCTACTGAAACAGAGAAGGAACCACATGACGTGGGTTATGGGAATATTTCCTGTGAGTTATTGCACTATTATATCAAAACACGTGGATTATGTGTGTCCGTATCACTATTGGCGTGTGCGTGGCAAACTGCGCACTCAGTGGTTTTGTGTA